CCTCCCCCTCTGCATGCCCAAGATCTTAATTATTCCAATCATCATTGATCCTTTTGGATTTTTATGTATTATTATTATTTTTTTTTTTACATACAATTCACAGGTCATTGCGGCGCTTACGTGCAATAGTTATTTTGTTGACACAGCAAAAGTCCAAGGGGGGTAGCCCAGTGGATTGCGGTGGTTGTAATGTACTCTATCATAGTCTGTTTTGAACGAAAGCAAAGACCGCAGCACATGTAGAGCCATGAACGAAACTATGTGCATCTTTCTGCCGCACGGAAAGCCACTTTTTATGAAAGGATCATTCATTCCTGTGGTGAAATATTGCTCACAGGCTGAGGTCAAGTGAGGACAAGGTGGTTCTGAGCCTCTGGACAATAAGTCCACTTGGACACAAAATGTGGTACCCAAAACCCATCCCATCATCCTGACAGTTGACATACTTCCATGTTGGATGATATCATAAGTTTGCTAATGAAGAAAACATTGTTGGCCTTCATTGTAAGAAATTCCACATGTGTTGAGGGGAGCACATGGATCGAATATTGCCCTGTGAACCGAGTACAAGTGGACCCAGGGGCGTGTTGGACCATTAAGTTGACTTATTCGACTCGAGTCAGTGACCATGAAAGCCGAGCGGCTTCACAATTTGTGTCAAGCCAACATGCGTCGTCCTGTGTGTGTACAGGAGCTGAACAGTGAGCGGTCCTTTTGCTGAACTACTGTGCGTTTGACATACCGCCGTCAAAGTGAGACTGGATAGCTTCAGGTCACCGTCTATTCCTTGGTCAACAGAAAACGAAATAGTTTCTCACCAGCAACGGAGGTGGGAAGACAAATGACTTCGCGCATGACAGCCAAATACAAAGACACAGTCTCTGCTCATATGGTTTGTGTCTCGTCGTTGGACACAAAACAACGGGGCCGGGCTGGTTCTGGTTCTGGCTACCAGGTGGGAGAGAAAAAGCTCAAAGGGAACATTATTGGGATGCTTGGAGAATTGGGGCAATGAGAGAGAGAGAGAGAGAAAGGCCACTAAAATGTTTTCTTCTGCTGCTTCGTCTGTCTCCTCGTGGAGCTTTTTAGACTCAGCATAGTTGTTCCTGTCTGTGATAACTTACAGTGGAATAAGGGTACGATCCGGAAGAACATACATGGCGTGTGTTTTCTTTGGAAACTTCCAACACGTGCCGCGGCCTCTTTCTCTCCTGTGGTCTGAATTGAAAGCACAGACTTTTAAAATCCTGCATTGAGAGATGTTGAAAAGGCTTTTCTAAAATTAGCCCGCTCTGTAGACAGGAGACAGACACATAGCAACATACGTAGGAACGGGGGAGAAGAGGTCAACGTCTTTTACAGTCACAGCGGCGCAAGAAAAAAAAAATCCTTCTCGAGTCCTTTTTTTCATCTCCGCAGCAAGTTTAATGTCCTTACATGCATCATCGAAGTAAAAATGGAAACTAAATGGAAATTTTAGATATTAGAACACACATTCAACATTTCTACTCATTAAAATACATTTTCAACTGATTGAAAACTCATTTTAAAAATTGTGAGCATACCATATATCAAAATTACTTATCGTAGTATCCGTGTGGCAGATATGAGGTGGCTTGTAATGTCGGCGAACTGGGCAAGTCTGTGTGTGAGCGTCTGGGTGTGAGCTGTGGCTGACATCAGCTCCTGCGGTACTACTCATTATGTTTAAGAATTCGATATTCATACATAGCATAACTGCACCCAAGAGTAAAACCTGCCGTTTCTTGATTTTCATACCGACACAAGCCTTGATGCGCTCGTTTGGGAATTTGGTTCGTTTCTGTGTACCAAGCTGGGTGTTCCGGCTTAACAACGGTGTTTCCTTTGAAACATGCCCTTGACCATTTGGTTGGTGGCTGTAAGTAGACTAAACGTTATGCCTGCTGATACCACGTCTCAGTATTGACACAGGTAATGTAACATGATTTTGGTGGATTTGATCAAGGTGCATTCAAACATGTGTGGAGGATATCATCGTATTTTATTCTTAATTATGACAACAACATGTATTGACCCCTCTGAATCATTGGAGAAACAATTCATTGAACGCATTATTATTCCTATTACCTATTTTATGTATATCAAGTCGACTGTGTTTATGCCCACAATGGCGCAAAATGCCCATTTTAAACTATGTTGAGCTGAAATACAAGCTTTGTCCCAGAACGTATTACAAAACTAGTTTATCACGGCACCACTGTTTAAGTAATGCGACTCCATTCAACCAAACATTTTCTTCCACTTATCTCGGGTCATAGGACAGCCGTCTGACCAGGAAATGCACAAACTTCCCTCTGGGCACCTCCAAGTTCAACCAGGGTGATGCTGAGGCACGCCCAGGCCAGAGACCTTTTTACACTGCCTCTTCGAGCAGGATATATCAGCCCATTTTCCGGGTCATTGCCCTGCAGAAACTGCACAAAATGTTGGGGTTAAACTTTTTGTAAGAAGCAGAGGCGCGCATATTATGGGAACCTTTTGTTGTGATCCGGATGCTGCGAATTTGCAGGATCTCAGTCTATAAAAGTTATTTTATTTTCTTTTTTTTTTCTCAGACCAATGTGTTGACAACCCCGGTCATACTACTAGTTTTGTCATACATTTTTGTGTACACGTCCACGTGATCGAGGGTTGTTGTACACACTATGCAGGCTTTCAAGATTGTTGTTCTGTGGATGTGCGCTAACACATTGCTGTCATTCAAACGAACGGTCACAACAAGAAACTTTGCAGGTTAAAACGGTGTCATGTAACCGCTCCTTAAACTTGGAGCCCTTCTCCATTGCCAGGACAACTGGCGCTGTTGAAAAGAATTTCAAGCCCAGTCAGTGGGATACTTTATTGCCCTATTCAGAGAGTGAAAATAGTGACATATCAATTTGACACACTGCTTTTGTTTTATGTCTCAGTGTGCCAATTGATGTCATATTTGCATGGCCAGAGTTCCAAGTGGGTCAACTTGAAAATTATTCATAAAAGGAATGTGTTGACAAAGAACTACAAGGCTGGATGTTTCGATTTTTTTTTCTTAATACAATGGTGGGCCACAAACCATTTAAATAGAGGTCAACACATTTTTCTCTCAATTGCTTTTTAGTTTCATTACTTTGTAGTGAATATAAAATACTGGAAGAATGAAAATAAATATTCACCAACCCTTTTTGCCTTTGAGTATTGAAGGTCAAGTCCACGGTACACCTTGCGTGTCGAAAGACAAAAACGTGGCAGTGCCCGAAGGCTGTCATTACATTGTGGAATAGTGAGAGCGAGGGGCAGGATCCTCTGGTGGAGATGTCTATCAACACGTGAAAACTGTTCTACCTTTCACACGGTGGTCCGCTCAGGGGCAGCGTGCACTTGATCGATGAAGAGTATTAGCTGCAGCTTGTTGGGATAGATGAGACTCAGGAATGTGATTTTTTATTTATTTTATTTTTTTTTGCTTCAGTTGGGTGGTGGGAAAAATATGTGCACGGGCGTTAGGCCAGGTGAGCGAAATTGATTGACAAATGTTTTACACTAAGTACCATCTCAAAAAATACTTAGTTCTCCAACTGCCACCATCATAAACAATATACAATATAGTAGTGTAGCAGGCCCAAGTGTTCAACAAAAGAAATGAGGCAACAGTTTTTGTTTTTTTCCCCTATATGATGTATTTAATGTTTCTTAAGTCACTATAACATTACGCACAGTTTGAAAAATTAATACATTTTGCTCACCACCTCATGTTCTAACTATAGTAACTAACTTAGCCACAGTTTTTAAATTGACTGGCCTTCCTGATACAGCAGACCCATTTTTTTTTATCCAGGCCTTACGCCTGCCAATGAACAAAATAATGTCCAAACTGAATTCATCCTCACGTGTTGAACAAAATAAAGCCCGCCTCACGCCGAGTGATGTGGCTGAAGGCATTTGAACTGCATCGTGCAGGGTTCTGCAACTTTTGAGTGGCTGACTGTCGGCGACGAGTTTTGCTATGATTTGAAATTTCTACAAAATTTGTTGAATCAAAATGACATGTATCACATCAGTTTTCACAACAAAAGTTACGTTTCTGGGTACAGAGTGAGATCCAGCCCCCATCAAACTGTTCTAAATCAGTATGTACAGTCTATATTTATATATATTGTGTTTTCCTAGACAGTAATACTGAACTGTATTTTTAAATCCAAATGTAGTTGTGGCGAAAAAGTGAAGCATGGAGAGTCTCTGTCCCCGAAATGCATGAGAGCTTTGACAACAAAAATGACATGAATTAAGCGAGATCCATCGTACCACTGGTTAATAAAAAAAATAATTAAAAATCCAGTCCAGTATATATGGTGCCCTCAAACATTCTTTCCCGATGAAAACACCAGAAGTCAAACTTTTTCCAGTGGAGTGACGCAAGGGTCACTCACCGGGTGTACAAGTGTGAGCCACCGACTGTAATTTATTTGTTCGTGATTGTCCAGTTCAGTCATGTTAGGCCGCAATCGCTGATGCCTGAAGCAAACTCACGTGCACAGCCAGAGGCCTGCTCGAGTGGAGTCAAATATTTAAGTTCCAATAAATCCAAGAGCTAACAAGCCTTCCATCAACTGGAACGTTGTTTTCCTTGGATTACGAAAAAGGAACATCCACTTTGCTGCCATACATTATTCTGATAAATAAACTTATTACTGCTATCCTCGGTCATCCAACATCAACGAACAGTTTGTGGTCATTATTCAAAAGCTGAGCATATGCCCGGTGAAGAATGTTTGTCGAGGGAGCGCATTCGAGGGAGGACGCTGAAATAAGATGGAAAATGGCATCTACTCTAGTTGTAAGATAGAACAGGCATGTCAGATGTATTATTTGACTGCTGGCCGTTCACAGAATGTGTCGGAGTCCTTGTAAAAGTCTGGCTCGTGTGAAACTCATAAAAATTCTCGATATAACATACTCGATAAACTTGTGTCTGTGCACAGAGCGAGCCGGAGAGCCTCAGCGAGGAGCAGTTACTTTTCCTGCTGGATGGTTGTGAGCTGACGGAGACGGAGCCAGAACCTTGACACAAACGTTGACTTCCTCCACGCGAGACCCCCGCTGTCAAGATGTCCGTCAAACCGCGCGCGCCATCGTTTGACATCACGCTTCCTGACCTCCGGTGTACGGAGCAAGCGTAACGGAGAGATTGTGCCGAGTGTATTCATTTCACTGTCACAATATGCAATTGTAACTCGTAAAAATCGGAGTGATTCACAGTCTTCTAGATACGTCGAGTCTTTGTGAATGTAAAGAGTTATAGATCAGATGTCGCGTATACACGTGCCTGCAGCTGCTGTATTTAACCAACTTTTCATCAAAGGTTCCTCCATGCTTTCACTCGAGATAAATTCCCACACTTGGATTGGTGTATTTTTTTTTTTTGTAAAAAGGAATGATGGTCTCTCTACTGAACTACTTTGTCATACCAACAACTGAATTGTTTTTTTATTCCTGCATCTACAAATGATCCACTGCCAGGGTTGTATTGTCACTCATTTTCTTTCTTTTTGGAGGGGTAGATAGCTTTGAGTGTTTGCATTTGGGTTTGCTTGAGGGATATTTTTAGCTCTATAGACAGCTTCTGTTTGCTTGTGCTTGCCCAGTGCAAGTAACAACACTGCACCTGGCTGACACCAATGCCCCCCCCCACCCCCCGTTTATCTCACTCTTCACCTCACATTGTGACCCCGTGCCGACAGTAGGAATAATCTCACATTCCTGCGAACTGAAAACATGTCAGCCAGGTGGAGCCTACGAAATCGGACCCTGGCGAGAGCCTCGTTAAACGCTCTAATCTTGCATCATTATCAATCCAGGAACCGAAACATAAACACTTTTTTGTCTTGACTATTCCACACGTACGATTTGCCTATTTTCACAAATGATGGCATATTTGAGGTGGTGAAACCGTGATGAGCTAAACATGGCAAGAATGAGTCAGCATTAATGTCTCGATGTGAAGAGACATGCTGCATTCTTCGACTCCTCTGGGGTACTTTGGCCAGACCTTCCACTGCAGCATACCTACTGCGCACAACTCGACCTCCTACTGATGCTTTTCTATTGGCAAAAAGTTATTTCATTCATCCATTTTCTATCGTGCTTGTCCGAACCCATCTGACTTTGGACAAGAGTGCAACACCACCTCAGACTACATTTCCACTTTGCCCTCGAGTCGCTGGAGTGTGTATATTACTCCACCGAGACCTTTCTTACTAGGATGGAGACCATGGTTGTATAAGGACTACATTTCTAGACTTCGACTTCCACCTCATTCAGTCTCTGTTAGGCCGAGAACAAGAAGGCTGAGATGGATGTGAGTTCCCGCCCTAGTGCTATGGATTACTATTGACAGGTTGACCTTCCATTATGTTAAGTCGAGGGTACTGTAGGTTTGGACTGTTTGCTTAGCACCACGGGGGAGGTTTGCATAAGAGAATTTGATTGTGGGCTAAATCAGGAGTGGATAGGACACAGGTGTCAAACTCAAAGCCCGGGGGCCAGATCTGGCCCGCCACATCATTTTATGCAGCCCGTGAAAGCAAGATGTCAAACTTTCATGATGCTTGCTAAAATCACTACCAAAATTTCAAATTCTCATTTGTAATAAATAAGTGTGATACTGTAAACATGTTCTTGTTTTCAAACCCCTCATTCCAGAATCTTAAACAACAGGTGAATAAAACGTTATTCTTGACTTCTTTATATGGATTCAGTCATAACGGCCCTCCAAGGGAAACTAAAATCTGGCCCGCAACAAAAATGAGTTTGACACCCCTGGGATAGGAGGAAGCGTACCCAACACTGATTAAGGATTGTTGTATGGTATGACTCCAACCACCTTCACATAAACCCCAACAAGACCAGGAAACTGGTCGTGCTCTCACCTTGACCCAGTTTACTTAAATAGTGACAGTGCTAAGAATGCACGGATGTACAAATACCTCGCCGTGCAGCTAGAATGAGAGTCTAGACTGCCAACGGTGATGCCAAGAAAGGACAGCCACCTGAAGCTGCAGATGTTCAACCAGTCTGCGGTGGCGAGCACCCTCATGTACGTAGTTTTTGTGGTGTCGCTGTCAAGAAAAGGACGCTTCTGAGATTCGAGTTGGGCTGCGTCGTGGGCGCACTGTCGGGACGAAGTGACATCTGTGGCAGAAAGGACACCGTTAACACATCACGGACAATCCAGAGCACCTACGGCACAGCGCGATTTCCAGGCAGAAGAGCTGCTTCAGTGACAGGCCGCGTCACTGTCCTGATTCACCGAAATGCTGAGGAAATCCATCCTACCACATGCCATCTGGCTCGATGTCCTAAATACATACCTATCGATGATGCTGGTACAATGAGTGGCTTAAAATGACTGCATGAACTGGGACTGAAAAGCCAACCAATGACAATCGCACAGTGCAGGGACACGTGGGACATAATCACAAACGTCATTGAACGAGGTGTGATACATGCTGCCTAACTCGCTTATAGACAGTTGCTGTAATTGTGACATTTCTGCGATTTATTATAGCCCACACTGGGTACTAGCTGGAGCAGTCGGTTTTCTTGTTGCCCTCAGTCTTGTCTTCGATAAAAATGATCATAAGCATGATAAAGGATGCTTAATAGCAAATCGAGGAAACGTCCGCTCTCGGTTGTTGTCGGTTCTAATGCCCTTTTTGTCTTGTTCCCACCGATGCATTCAGTGCAGGGTAGTTTAGGCAATTTCCAGATGTATAATTTCACATGCCACTTCAAGCTGAGCGGTGAAAAAGCAGCATTGGATTGTGACTCATTTTAATGCACATTCCTCGCAACGACGGCACTCCGCAGAAAGTCAAATTTTGACTGCACTAAAGCGAGCGAATTCATCACTCCGGCGTGCTAAATTCCTCGACGTCTGCTGATCACATGCAACACTCGGAAGGTTGAAAGAGATGCCTGCGTGATGCGTAATCATATCTGTATGAATGTGCTATTTAAGAGGGTTATATTTCATGGCGAGTTTTCCTGCTGTTGACTCCCAAGGATACTCCCTTTCTCTGAATTATCAGCAGACCCGACTAATGGATTCCAGTTGCTTGACACAGCGTTGCTCGACTCCCTTTTGCTTTCGAAAGGACGAGATCTCAATCAAAAGTAAATATAACATCCAGGGTCTTGAACGATCCATCCAACTGTTCAACTTTTTGTTTCACGGGCGCTCAAAATAGAGACCACAAGTGACGAGAGATGCTTCTTTCTGGAAGCGTTTATTTTCCTCTTGACATATAACAAAATAACAAGTACAAGTATAAACAGCACTTTTTTTTCTTTTTTTTTTGTAAAAACTATGGTACAAATGTTTATGGAAAAGCGTCATCAGAATTAAAAAAAAGACATCCTCACATCAGTGTGCAAATGAGTTTATACAGACAAAAGCGTTCCCACGAGGCTACGCTTCGAGATAAATTATTTAAATAGCATATATCTACACAAATGACATAACTTCAACATAATAATTTATCAAAACAAAGGCACTGGAAAATACACACAGCACAACACAGTCAAGACAACATTTCCTTGTTTTTTTCCTGTTTGGGCTTCTTTTTTTTCCTCCCCTAGAAAAATATCTTATATACAGCACATGACTGATAGTACAGTCTTGCAAAAAAAAAAAAGTAACCTGAAGCCAATCAATTTGGTCTCCGAAAAGTGATTTGTTTGTCCATCGCTGGCCTCAATACAAAAACCATTCATGAGGTAATCATTGTACTTAAATGATATCCTTTTGTTTTTCCTTTGTCAGAAATATACACACAAGCTCTGGCACACAAGTTAATGCATGAAGTGGCAACGCATACATGGTCTGGGGTCGAATGCTGATTCACTGGAAGGGTAAGATTGTAGTTAAAAAAAAATTAATTTTCAACAAAGTCATTGAATGGAGTGTAGACAGATCAATATTTTGAAAGGGGAAATTCTGAGCTTGTGTTACAATACTGAGTGGAATTGTGCTGCCAGGAGGCGTTGTCATAGCGCGGATGGAGCTCCGCTTCCCGTAGCTGATGTCACATTTCACCCCTTTCAGACAGCTAAGTAGTTGGAACTGAACAGCACCGCTGTTGGCTGCATCAGCGCGCTCCGTGTTGACTCAGTTACTTCAAGCTGCAATTAATTCCCACACAATTCTAAATAATCAATTAATAATTATGCCCTCCCCTTCGATTTAATCCCTTGATCGCATCGGAAAAGATCATCGATACACTACATATTACTTGCCAAAAATCATCGTTCCAAAGCATTGCAAGAGTATACCTGCTTTGGGCCCTGTGCTCTCCTTTTTGTGCTCTTAACCTGAGAAGTTCTCCTGTTTGGCCATCCCTATGTTGTTGAAAGACCTTTAATAATTAGGTTTGGATGGGAGGGTGAATGGAATGGCAAAAAAACACCACCAAAAAAAAAAAATAGCCCTTTTTGTAAGACTTTTTGGGAGCTACACGTGCACATTCACTCAAACCACACTCACAATCTTCTCTCATCACAGTCATTCCAAACTGTCCATGGTCCCTCAATGGCTCCTTCGAGAGGGAATATTCCCCCAGCCAAAGAAAGTTCTCCTACTGCTTTCTTCAAAATGAGTATCTTAGAGTCCACAGCAGATGTACATTAATGCTCGAGGATGAAAAGAAAATGAAAAGAAGGAATTTCTCTTTGATCCTTCCTCCGCAGAGGGATACCAGCAAAGTTCAGGTGTGCAAAGCAATAAATGTGCCCCCCCCCCACACCCTGCCTCCTTTGGATGCAAAAGCAGGGGAAGGGGTGGGGGGGGGGGCAAAGTCTTCTGAGCATAGCTGCGCTCGCAATATGAATTTGGTGCAGATATATCATTGAACTTTCATTCAGCATTCAAGTTCTGAGGTCACGTTACCTCACGCTACCACTCTTGCTCATCATTCCTCCAACGTGCATTGCCCGTTTTGTATCATCAAATTGGGAGACGTCCTTCTGCCAGGATGTGTCTTCATCGCATTATGCATCTGAAAGAAATTGGAAACAGATGAGTCTCTTGTTGAATGTTTTACAAAGGCATAAAAGCAATGATCTGTATAAGCTTTTTAAATCTTACCTCGACATTCATATTTAAGGTCGGAGAAGTAAACCATCTCCTGAGAGAAGACGTACAACCCTAGTCGCCCCCCGGCGTAGGTTTTGTCAAAGATGTTTCCAGAGTCAGCCATGATTCTCTTGCCCTCATACATCACAACTCTAAAAAGCAAAGAGCAACCAGGTGAGATCATTTCAAATCATAAAAGATGTCACGATTTCTTTCTTGGGCTTTACAACTTACCTAATAAGTCCACTCTTTGGTCTATGGACCAGGTGCCATCTGTAGGCGGTGAAGTCCTTCCAGCCGATGTTCTTTGGGTCGTGCCAGAGAGTACGAACCTGTCAATCAATATACATCAAATGTTAAAATGACTTACAACCTTTGAACCTAAGAGGAGCCTTTGAGTCATACCGAATGGAGTGCTCACCTGTCCCGGTGTGTCTCCAGTATGCCACAGTGCGTTCCTCAGGTGCTCACCCGGGCCGGTGGTGGAGTTCACCACTTTGATGGACAGACCCGAGTAGCCTTGCGCCCTCGTGGGGGTGTGAGACCAGTAGGTCTGGGTGATCTGCTTCCACATGACTGTGTAGAATCGAGAACTTGACTGGTAGCCAAACACAAAACCGGCGTAGTCGTCATCTCGGTCTGTGTTGACGAAGAACGTTCCGCTGAAGTCGACGGCGCTGAACTCGTCAAAACCTTGTCGGAAGAAGAGACGGTTTAGGTTTTGCCAAGTCTTACGTGGGTAAATCCCTAAAGAGCCATGAGGATATGTGGTTTCGTACCAACGGCAATGCCTGGGTCGCAGTTGACGGTCTGTACCAACTCCTTGCCCTGATGTCTGACCACCCAGTTGGGATCAATCTGGGAAGTTCCTTTAGGATCAAGGGGGACCATCTGGAAACGGCGGAAGTCCGTTTCGCTGATGGCAAAGTTCTCTGGGCAAACGTCATAAATATCCAGGACGTTGTCTTGGTCGAAATCATCTTTGCAAACATCACCTCGGCCGTCACCTAAAATGAAATGTATACGTCATGAGGCTCAGACATTAATAAATACATTTTGAAGTGAGAGGATCGACTGAAGGAGTAACTCACCATCGGAGTCCAGCTGATCGGGGTTAAAGGCCAGCCTGCAATTGTCCTTGTCATCTGGAATACCGTCATTGTCATCATCGTGGTCGCAGGCATCGCCCTTGCCGTCCTTGTCGTGGTCTGCTTGGTTGGCGTTTGCTATGTAAGGGCAGTTGTCTAAATTGTTTTGATGGCCATCCTCGTCAATGTCCTGGTTGTTGTCACACTTGTCTCCCACGAGATCCGAATCTGAGTCAGTCTGTTGGAGAAAGGAATTCTTGGTTTTACGGCCCAAAGACTGGGATACTGTTATTCCTTAGGATGAGAAACAATTCTCTGGACGGAATTTCAAAGCAGACCCTTGTGTTCAGGCATGCAAGCGAGAACTTTTTCCTCCTCAAATCACATTGGATTCAAAGTTGGATGAAGCTGACACATTCCTCTCTTTCTATAAAGTCAATTTATAGCCTCTATGGCTTCCAGACACATCTTTGACATTTTTTCACAGCACGCCATTGGCCCACGCGGAGAAACGAATATCGTAAAACTGCAAGCCGAGGGCTGACCTCACCTGATCGGGGTTATGCTCGAGAGGGCAGTTGTCGCAATGGTCTCCCACGCCATCTCGGTCTGTATCTCTCTGGTCCACGTTGTAAACATATGGGCAGTTGTCATTCTCATTCAAAACGCCTGTTGAGTTGAAGCACATCGTTGGATTAACCGACGGGACCAAAACCCTGTGAAGCTCTGAAACATAATACCGCGGTGGAGATTGTAAAATGGTCACTTACCATCACCGTCAATATCAACGGCGCAGGCATCTCCCTCCCCGTTATTGTCAGTGTCGGTCTGGTCAGTGTTTGGCTCAAAAATACAGTTGTCGCAACTGTCACCAACATCGTCCCTGTCTGCGTCATACTGGGAGGGGTTGTACACTCTCGGGCAGTTGTCCTAAGGAAATAATAAGGAAATGTACTTGAGTATGTGACATTGCATAGTTATGGTTCATTATTCAAACAAGCAAGCGTATAAAGGGGAAAGTTAACATTTCTATTGGTCCGCATAAAGCTGATTTGTAGCTACGTCCGGTCTGTGGGGAAGGCACTGTGTTACACCAATAAAATACACTGTTGGGATTACTCACCCTGTCATCAGGGATACCATCATTGTCATCGTCGTGGTCGCATTCATCACCGCGGCCATCCTTGTCATGATCTTCCTGACCAGAATTGGGAAGGTTGGGGCAGTTATCCTGCATGGAAAAAAAAAAAGAACATCAGCAGTTTGGGTGAGTGTTTTTATCCTGGATTTGTGGCCTTTCGGATCTGTGTAGTCGTTTGAGCTTACCTTCTTGCAGTGGTAGGTCGCGTTGGCCACACATAGCAAGTCAGAGTTGGGCCAACCATCCAGGTCAGTATCCTCTCCGCAAATATAGCCATTACCAGCATACCCCGGCCTGCATTCGCATCGGAACATGGACTCGGAGAAGACGCCCAAGTAAATGCAGTTGGCGTTTTTGTTGCAGTTGTGGCTACCGTCCTGGCAGGGGTTCCGTGGTTTGCAAACCTGAAACCAAAACATCTCAGAAACTTAATAAAACAGAAATAACTACTTCCTGGTCAAGAACAAGTACGAAGTCGGAATTCCAACCTGTTTTTTGGCAGTGGCCTGCTCCACACCCCTTCCGAAGGGCTGAGGACCGGAGTAACGAGCAGGGCACGGCTGGCAGTTGTAACCGGGCTCTGTGTTCTCACAGCGATGGACTCCATTGTGCGTATAGCAAGCATCGGGGACCTCCTTGCACTCATCAACGTCTTTGCAGGTGATGCCGTCTCCTTTGTAGCCGAGCGGGCACTTGCCGCACTTGAACGAGCCATCGGGGAAGCTGATACACTTTGAGCCGGGGAAGCATGGGTTGGAGAGGCAACCGTCTGCAGAGGAAAATCGTTTGGTGTCGTGCAAATGTAATTTCTTTATAATTCAGAGATCATTCGATGTGCTTACCAATGGGACAATCCTGTTTGTTGCACACTTGAGACATGGTGGCGTCGCCGACGCAGTCCTTTCCACCGTATTTGGGAACAGGCTCAGAACAGAGTCGTTTGCGATTCTGGATGCCTCCGTTACATGTAACGGTGCACGTGTCCCACGGTGACCAAGGTCCCCAACCTCCATCGACTGAGAAAGTTTGGAAAAGTACAGCAATGAGTTTGTTCGTCCAGACTTGGGAAGTATTTGTGATGATAATAATTGAGCTTACTGGGACAAGGTTTCTTCTGGCAGATTTCAGTTTGGCGTCCCTCTCCCTGGCAGTCCTTGCCGCCCATCTGGGGTGTTGGAGAGTTGCAGAGGCGTATGCGAGTGACGACTCCCTCCCCGCAGGTCACAGAGCATGAAGACCAGGGAGACCAATGGCTCCAACCTCCGTCTTGTTTGACTGCGAGTGACCCAGATCCACAATTCATTCCTCATCCTTCGTCGCTAGAGTAGCTCCAACGTAAACGAAGTCTTACTTACAGCGTTTGTCACATTCTTGAGGGAAGCAGTCACGGGTTTGGACGGACGTGCCCTCACAGTTGCTGTTGATGCGATCGCAAGAGCGTCCACGCTGCTGGATGCCACGACCGCAAGTCACCGAGCAGCGAGTCCACTGAGACCAGGGGGACCAGTCGTCCTCAGAAGAGTCATTTGCTGTAAGCGGGGGAGATGGTTTAGAAACATTACATTTTGGCACAAGGTAGACAAGAATCAAACAAGTTGAGCGGTGCCTTGACTTATGAGTTTAATTCATTCCGTGACCGAGTTAGTAACTCTGTTTTCTTATATATTTATCAAATGACTTTTCCACTGTGAAATGAACTGAAATTCTGTTCATTTATACTCAAAGTCATAAGTTGAGGCACTCACGCCACTGTATTTCAAGCAAGAAAAACTTACGATTTCCACATCGCGGGCAGCACTCTCCCTCTGGCACGGTGCCATTGGCGCAGGGAATCAGAGGGCAGGAGATTTTTCGACACACAGTGGCAGAGTTCTATTTCGAGGAGACAGAATATTGCTGTTTTAAAACGTCATGAGGACTTCCACACTCCCGCTTTGTTGAGATAAATCCTAAACGTCCCCATGCTTGCTTTTGTTTTGTTTCGAGGAAATCTGCACCGCAGCCTCACTAAGCTCTTCACATTGTGTTGGCACGCGCAGTAGGAAACACAACTGTTTCTCCGCTTACCTGGCAGGTACACTCGGTGCAGTCATCCACGGTCCACTCGTCTCGGTCCTTGTGCACGATCCCATTGTGGATGCAAACGCTGCTGTGGTTCTTGATTTGATCTTGAATCTTGGCGCTTACCTCAGACTGCGAAAAAAAACAAAAAAACAGGAATAGAATGAGGGAGAGGAGGGGTGCTAGCTGGGGACCAAGGATGGAAAACTTTCACTTTGCCAAAGTTCCAGCACAAATGAATCACCATGCAATATAATGATTAAGACACAACCCGACTCTAGTGAAGCGATACAAATATCGGCAACATAGCGACTCTCATTAGGAACTTGGCCACGTGCTGCCACGACAGCGACAAGTGGCAGCGGGAATGCGCTAACTTGGATGCAAAAGGACAAGGGAGCGGTTCTGCCGTGCTCACCACTTGACGCAGCTCCTCGGTCACTTGCTTCACCACCATGCCGAGTCCTCGCACCTCCTTGAACAGACCCGCGATGTCCTCGCACGAGAGGCCGCAGAATGATTGCAGATCTGAATTGGAGAGAACCCAGTTAAGAATGACTTCACCTTCCAAAACGACAAACTGATTCCTACCCATATCTTTCTTTTTTTTTTTTTTCCACAGACACGACTCACAAAGTGCTGAGCATAGTTACTCATACATAAATACATTTAAAAAAATGCAATCTATGTGTCCTGAAATGCCAAATCAGGCAATGTTTTTAACTCCTTTCAAATAATGAATAATAGTAATACACATTACTTTTTAATCTCATGTGAGGTCGAGTAAGTAAAAGGTAGGACATTAAAATAACACCAAATATTGGAGGAGGTCTCACCTTTGGTTTTGTGGCCAGTGTAGTCGGTCCTAATGGCGGGGCTGGAGCCGTTCATTGCGTTTTGCAGAGTCCGGACGTCAGTCAAGGCAGCTACAGGTGGGAGGACAATGCGACGGATCAGTAATATTGTTATGCAGATCAAGAATTAGGGACACTTTTTTCAGTCTGTTTCTTTACCCTGTACCGCAGTTACTTTCATAATATGAACTTTTGTAGCCCTCTATTTTGATCATTGCTTGACCATCGTCATTTAGGACATAACAAATGAATTATGGAACTGTTCCCGGGATGAAAAAAAGTTACGGATCTGCTCCTAAACTGGAGAGACAGCAAACCCAGCCCAGAAAGCCACTCGGCGCAATGTACTCGGAAGCCTTACCTCCATTTTCACATCCCTTGTTTCTCAGAATTGTCTCCAGGGTTGTCCCAAAGACAAATCTCACATTCTGAAGCACCCCCTATAATAAAGATACGACATTTAACGGACATATTCCAAACAAATACGCAGCAGTGAAAGAGAGGACTTCGACTGAGTCCTTACCATAAATTTATCCCGAGTTGCTCCCTTCGCAATCCTGAGCCTAGCGATGTCCGCCAGCTCCTGAGACAAGACTTTCTGGATGGGCTCGTCCATCTCGGACACGTTGATTTCATCGCAGCCCACCAAGAGTTTCACGCGGTCATCCTGGAAGAAGAGTGTGATCTTCCTCCAGTGTCCCGTCGCTAAGTGGGCCTCCTCGATGGACACCAGCTGCTGATGGTTGCCGGTGGAGTAGAAAACGTCCAGAGTGTTGGCCTTGCCGTTGGAGATGATCTCCAACACGGGTCCCGAGCCGTCTTTCTTCTCAATGGTCAGGAGGCTTCCTCTGTTCCTCTTGGACTGCTTCAGGTTGACCAGGAGCATGAAGCCCCTCTCCAACTGGATGGAGTCGATAAGGTCCCCGAATGAACTATCAGGGACTGGGGGGATCAGCTCCGCATTCAGAATTTTGTACGCCGGGCTGTACGGATCAGCCCCTTTGACCAAAGTCACTCCATTGAGCCTATTGTCTCCCCGCACCAGATCGAACAAGTCGTAAACGCTGTTGTCGTCACGGCTCTCTGTGGAACAAGGACACATTTTTGAATACATTATATAAAGGAAATGCCGATGGAACTTATTTTCAAGTAATTTTTCGCCATTCTCACCTGCCAGGATTGCACCCTCGCAGATGCACAGCATCAACAACAGAAAGATGCCACGCAGCATCATCTCTTTTTCTCAAGTCAAAGCTAAAATCAACACAAGAATAAAATCGCATATCACTTTCATTTCACACCTAAATTTGTCATTTGAGAAGAAACGTTCATGAATAAAGTTTACAAACCTGAAAAAAACAGAAGACTCCTTCAAAAGTACAGTGAAGTGGATAAAAACAAAAACGATGTCCTTCTGTTATTATTTAACTTGTCTCTCGAAGCCCAAGTCAAAATTGGTTATTATTCATTGATTTTTTTTTTGTTTTTAATTCCAATTGATGCTCTCAAGTTCGATTGCACTGAGTTGACTGCCTGTTAGGGCGCCAGTGGAGCCTATTTGAAGGCTTGAGAGACATTCCTGAGACGCGGGCTGCACCAATGGCAAGCCAGATGCGCACACTCGCGCACTCGCTGGGCGGATCAGGGTCTCTTACCTCACACAGCTCTTTGCAGTCACATCCGAGACGCGCACAAAAATGCATTCCACAAGCTCAGCGGACAAATATTCCATATACTCAGCCGTGCCAGCGGCGGGGGCGTTTCCGGTCAAATAAAAGCTTAATCGCCCGGTTAAATACGTATGTGCTATTAATATCTTTGATGTTTTAGGCTATATTGTGTCAGGCAATGTTTGTAGGCCCAAATTACCTGGGCACTTTATAAACGGACAATGTTTGTTTCTATAAATAAATACATACCATCACTTAATGTATACTTTAGTAAGTTTATCAATACTGTTTGTTCGAGATAGCAGCTCCCAGGTTGCGAGCTGTCCAGTTGAAGACGGACGTTTCACATTGTGTTATTTTTAAATGTGACCACCAGGTGACTCAGTGAGCAACATATTGAGACTTGTCTGTCCCTCTCAGCAGCAACACCATTTACAGCAGACTAACACATACAAGTCACACAATAAAAATAATACGCCATGTAACCTCCCCTTGTAGTCATAACATCTAGTTTGGGGTATATCTTTGCATTCTTCTTGAGGACATTTTAAAATTAATATTTAAACATGACATCATTTTATCTATCTATCTATCTATCTAGCCAGCCAGCAAGCTACCTATGTATCTTGCTAGCTAGCTATCTAGCTATCAATTAGCAGCAATGATATTATAAGCAACATTCTTTTTTTTCATAATTTTGCCCAATACTTGAAGGTTGCAGTACGTTAATAATATAGATTAAATCATTGATTAAATATTGAGAATACAGAAATAACCATAATGAGAGCTATAATGTGTGAAGCGAATCAAAATGCTGCAACAATATATGCAATTGTCTCCTGTATACATCAGTGTATTCCACACTTTTGCTCATTATCAATATACGTATGCACGTGCTTTAGGTTCTAGTACAGTGCAGACATGGTGTGAAAGCCTGATGGTCAAGATCTTTGTCACACGTCGGCCATGTTTAAAGGTAGGTTAGACATACAGTATGTGGCAAAAGACGCCTGCATACATGTTAGAAAGGCCAAAGGAGGCATAAGGCCGTAACACTTCTCAGTGATCCAAAACTGTGATTCAAATGGAAAACATTGTGGAGGTGGGAGACGAGTTTTGAGCCCGGCGGGAAGGATGTTTGCTGATAGCAGCCAGGTGGGATGACTGTGTGTGACCTCACGGCGTGGGAGGAACAATTGACATGATGGTACTGGAGTACCAAAAGACTGAACAGTCTCGCCGGAAGCAGCCCAAAGATAAGAAACGTTTACACTGCGCAAGCTCCATGCAACCTCCCTCTATCGTGAAGAGTCCTCATGCTGAGTCATATCAGTGGATGATAGCATTTTGCTATTTGAAAGCACATTCTCAAGGCAAGTCATAGATATGCGTCTTTTTTTATAGCTCATTAGGTTCTCGTCTTACACATCTAAGGATGACAGTCATTACATTAGTAATTTAGTTGATTGACCTCAAAAGACACCTGAGAATTTGTTTCATTTTATGTTGACGCTGCATGCATTAATAATTATAACGCCAAACCTTTGAAAGTGTTTCAAGCATCTTTTATGATTACGCCTGCAGCAGTAAGTTGTTTGAACTTTACTTTTTTTTTTTTTTTTTTCAGGAGGAGGCCCGCCACTCCTGCGGTATCTGCTTGACAACGGCCCGGGGGAGACCTCATGTACGTCGAGTATCAGTGGCGGTTCAGGTAAAACAAACCGAGATAGTGGAAAGTGTGTGTAAGAGGCCTCTGTAGCTACAAGTCCAAACACACAGCACAGTGACTCACTCAAAAACATTCAGAATATATGGACATTAGCCAGATGATCGTTGTTGTCGAACACTGAACCACTGAAACTAATCAGTCAGTGCCACTCAGGAGAGGACCAACATCCACCACGTCAGACGAGTCCTCAGTGAAATACGCGACAAAGTGTCCCTGAATCTTGTCATTAGGATGATAACATTTTCACTGAAAATTCAGGAAATGTTTGTGCGGAGAATATATTTAACACAAGTACCACGAGTTCAGCTTAAGTGATGTTTTTTTTTTTTTTTTAATACCAGGAGTGGGGTTTAAACCCACGAGGACTATAGTCCATTGGATCTTAAGTCTAACGCCTTAACCACTTGGCCATCCTGGTGCCGTGACCTCTCTGTTATATCAAATGAATAATTAAAATGTGAATCCTGACTTCAGCGCCAGTTTGAGAAGTCCAATTAATGCCCATCATGACATTGCTCCAACGTGAAGCATCCAAATCAGGTTGTTGAGCATCAATGTCTTCTATTGGAAGTATTGAAACAACCTGAATTTGGTACTGGTGAACCGTTATTTGACCGCAGTTTGACAGCCATTAAGCTTCTCAAACTATCACCGGACTGCAGTTGGGGACAAAAGAACTTCTCGCCAGGCGATTTCGCAACACTGCTCTCTTTTGGCAAGCCATAAAAAAGAAAGTATGGAATGAATTTTGGGATATCCTGCAAATACAAACTCACTAAATTGACTTCCTATGTTCTTATCAAACAACATTTTCAGGTGTCTCATACATTGTTTTTTTTTTTTTTTAATTGAATCAAAAAGGACAAGAGAGAGGAAAAAAAAATCTGCACAAATTGTTTTATTTATTTTTGTTTTGTAGACTAAAGTGTTTTATATATTATGCTCCTGAGTTAATATTGCTGAACTGAATGTGAATTTATGATTATTTGATTAAATTTTTGTTTTTAGAATGGCGCAATGATTCAAATGATGCAATAAATTCTTGTTTCAACAAGGTTTAAACAATCATTTTTTTTCACCGCAGGCAAATTGATGTATCTAAATGATCTTCTGTTACAGACTAAAAAACAATGTTAATAAAGTTATTTTTTGCTGTAAATTGAACGATATTTATTTCTTTTTTCTTTTCTTTAATGTTAATAAAGATACAATGTAATGCAGAAGTGTACTTATGACCATTTTATAGACAAGTGATAATTATCGTGGCGGCAGAGAGTAGTGGGGGGGCGTGAATTATTTTCTTCTTCTTGGGTGGGCGGAACAGAAAATACTTGAGAAGCACTGATCTACAGGGACTAATACCAGTGTCCAACCATGTCAAAACTGAATATTTGGTCCGGAACGTGTTCACAAGCAATCTCCAGTGACCTCCTTCCAGGAAGTTTCTCAGTCAAAAAGTATTTTTCCCAAGAGATGCATGGGCGATGAATTGGGAAAGATTTTTTATTTTGTCTCTGCCGCATGCCTGAACAGTGGCCGCTATAAATCACTGATGCGAACCGTTCATCGCTGCCGCTGTCAAACAGGAGGGGAAATGATCGTATCTGTAACAGACGATCATCTCCGTGTTTGGTAAAGCGAAAAGTCAAAAACATGCTCACTTTCATTCGTCACTGTGAGTCAGACGCAAATCTGCATTAGGGAAACTGACGCACGTATGTGAGGAAAAATGTAAGGAAGAAAATGATAAATTGGTGGCAGTAAATATGTGAATCTTTAAAAAAAAAAAGAATTTGTTCTTAAAGCTCAATTTTTAATGCTAAAATTAGCTAACATCCTCCAAGAGAGTATCCCGGACAGAGCCAGATTGATACGTGAATCACTCAAAGGAGTTTTCCACAGCCTCATTCTTGCGATTTTATAAACTCACAAATACTGTGAGAATTTAGCTTGCAGGCAGTTGAGGGCTTAGCATCCAAGCTGGAAAAGGTGAGTATTGCTAATAAATACGCTACATTGTCTTTTTAGGATTTAATTCAGTCTTTTGTGTACATGGAGGAACAAAAAAAAAAAAAAAGTCTGATGATTTCTAACACTGTTAAAAATGTCAGTTTACCATCAAGCATCTAAAATATCACAACGGATCAAAAGATTTGCCACAAAAAAAAAAATCTCTCTCACAATGTCTCCACAGGAAGTAGTAAAAGTCCCCCGTGACGTTATCCATTGAGCTTTACTGACAAAAAAAAAAAAAAAAAAAAAAAAAAAAATTTCCTTGTCCCTCAACATCCATTTTCAAGCTCCACTTGCTGTGGAAACCCCATTTCCTGGCCTTTTCCCTCGTATAATTCAGCTCTGCTCTTGGGACGTACGTGTGTGCCGTGACTGTGGAAACGTGAACGTGAAACTTTGGGGTCGCCACATCCCAAGATACCAAGCGGCTATTTTACAGCATAGTGGCCCCCGCAGTCGTTAAAACCTGCCAACTTGATGATGAATGCCACCTCATTCTGTCAACCTGGAGATATACCGTATTTGTCCTCATACATTCAATGATGCTTTCTTTGACAAATGGAAGAATCGGGATGACACAATTGACTTCAAACAGATTTGGGGGGGGGGGGCTCAGGTAACATTCGCAAGTCGAGCCTGTGGGCACTTTGACGTCAATTTCCGTCAATGGCAGGGGGCGGTGCTGCATAAACTACCAGCTTCCTTTGATAGATGAAAATGGGAGGAGTGTTCTGCTTAATTCGTACTCCATCGATCAGAATTCAATTTTTTAGTTCGTGAGGGTACCTAGAAAATATTGCAAAGAAAAAATATTGACTTGATTTCTGCTTCAAGTATTGGAATCAATGATTCTGATTTTACCTTTTCAAAAAAGGTATATGTACTTGTACTTTAGTTGTGTGAGTACTTTTGCTACCCCGAACAGTTGTTTATACCAGCTTCCTTGGATAGATGAAAATGGGAGGAGTATTCTGCTTAATTCGTACTCCATCGATCAGAATACCATTTTTTACATAGTGAGGGTACCTAGAAAATATTATTGCAAAGAAAAAAATTTGGCTTGATTTCTGCTTTAAGTATTGGAATCAATAATTCTGATTTTACCTTTTTTAAAAAGGTATA